AAGAAAACGAAATTGTTTTATGCCTGAAGACGATCGGAATCGAGATGGCAGAGATATTCCTCGCCTTAATTGGTCCTTTGGTCGTTTTTGGCACTTCGGGTCAGTTTGGGGACCAATAACTTTGCCGTTTCGACTCTGATCGGCTCTGAGCATAAGACAAAATTTCGAAAGAGGAATCTTAACCTGGCATTACATTTTTAATTTGAAATCTTTTAGTAAATTGCAAATTTGCAAACTTTTTTTTCGAACACAAAATAATGGTGTTCACTTGTACAACGACTACAAGGCATTTGATCTCACAAAAATACATTTTAGAAGGTTAATTAAACTAACAACTTCAGTTCTTAAGAGCGATATACTTCCAAAGGACCGAACAATATTCGGACCAAACATAAATGACTTGGATTCTTAGCACAAGGGCCGATTACTTTCCAGGGCCTATCACAACTATTTGATACGGTTTAGGACAGCTTATATCTTGGTAACACACTGAAAAGCACTTCATTTCTTTGGTGCGGTCAAAAATTGCCACAATATGTGGCGAAAATAAAGCAGCATAATGCACGCAAATAGGAGATAATCGCATTTGGCTAACCTTTCACGTTTTCGCATCCTGGTTGAATGGCTCGACCATTGTTTGGCCAAAAATCGATGTGGCCACAATCGCCATCGTATCCACTTGTGCCGAACGTTGTCCCAGCGTCGGTATGAATTACGTCGACAAAGAGTGCATCTTCGCGGACTAGGTGGGGAAAGCCCAAGAATGGCGCCTTTGCGCCAGCTGGGTCCAAGGCTGCAAAGAGTCGAAATTCAATACTAGCGACACGTTAAGTATTGTTATCGAGCAACTTCAACTATTAGTCCCAAAACCGGATAAAAATTATATGGTTTAGAACTCAAGTCCATGATGAAGGATAACCGATTTCGGGGATTGTGGTCCAGACTATAGCCATAGTACTAAATATAAGGCACGTCTATCACTTACCTGTCAACCTCGGTACCTTGCGACCAAGCGCACGGCTTACGAACGCCGCCATTTGGGCCCCCATCGAGTGTCCCACAACCCAAAGTGAATTCAGTGGCAGGCCAGCCTGTACCAGAGCCTTGACGGAGCGGCCAGCCCGCTCACTCACCTATGAGTACAAAAATGCGATAGTCTTCATCAACAACATGTACTTGTGCGACACGTTATTGTGTCCGACACGAAAAAAGTGAAGACTCTTAAGAAAAATAGGTTGCGTGGAAACATCTTATGGTTTCCGAAACTGCTTAATAATCAAAACGTCCTGTTTTTTGGCGTTTACGAAGGTGTGTCTGGAAACTCAAATGTGGTACGGTTTCGACGTTTTATCTGCAGCACCCAATTTTTGTGCAGTTTATGTTCCCGTCCCCAATCGCCGGCCTCATTGAACCCGGGCAGGTGCGGTTGCTACTGCTCATTCCTCATGCCGAAAACTCGATAAAGGTTTTCATTGTAAGTTCTGATTTTGATAGATTGTTGTGTAAAAATAAACGAAAAAGTAGATAATCTGGAGACCCTTGAGCCCAATGGAGGATGTGGCTCGACGTAAACTGTGTGGTTTAAGTATTATTTTCTGTACAATTTTCCGATATGAAGCCATCAGGTCATTTTCACCTTATTTTCGCCAAGAAATGCCCCTTTGAACCCAGGTGGTAAAAAAGATCGAGCAAAACGGACATTTTTGTCCATAGGGTTCTAATTTGACGAGGATATTACAAAACGACCCTGAAATTCCGAGATCGCTTTCTCAATTCCTTCTCGAGTTACCGTGCGGACAAATAGATTGACAAACAAACAACAAGGGTTAAGCTTTTTCGGTCCGTGGAGTAATGTTCTTCCCTAATCGCTCAGCAAAAAAGACGAATCCCATACAGTGGCAGTCACTGAAAAAACAACATCACCTCAGGAAGTCAATGTATCAAATGTTCCTAGAGGACGGTGTTTTGCACTAAATTTTGAAATTGCGAGGGCCTGTAGTGCCATAGCATGCTACGACAAAATACAAGATTTTTGACCCTACTGGCGACCTGATCGGACCACGTGAAAAGGTCCCGCCAGGCTGTCGCAGTTTAGCATAAAACTCTAATGGCGAAATGGTGCAAAAAGTGAAATTTCCGGTTTTGGCCTTTTGGATGCGAAATTTTTCAAAAACTCAGCCGGAAATGAAATCTACGCGTCGAGATCTGTCCATCACTCACATTGGTAGATTCCGATTTAAAAGGATGCAAATGGGCCTAAAATGATCAAGTGAGGTTTTTCAAAGCAAGATATCTCACATCTTATCAGGTATACCAGGTGTTGTGAACATGATAGATGATATTCTGGTAGGTGGTGCAAACCGACAAGAGCATGACATGCGGCTTGAGATGGTGCTCAAGAGGCTAAGTGAAACAATCAAACCCTCAACAAATATAAGTCCAACATCCGATTGGCCACATGCACCATGCTGGGACATCACATCAGCCCAGAAGGACAGCCACTAAGGTGGAAACTTAAGTCCATCATAGAAATGCCTACACCACCCGCTGTTCCATCTCTAAGAAGTTTTCTGGAATCAGTGAATTACCACATGAGGAATTCATTCCAAACTTAGCTGACATCAACAAGCCCCTACGGCACGGCATCTATTTATGGAAAATTCAATGGAAGGATGGGGCGAGAGCCACGATCAAGCATTCTCAACATTCAAGAAGATTCTCTCTTCACCACCAGTACTATCGTGGTATAATCCCAAGAGCCCTACTAGGGTGACAAAAGACGCCTGCCTTCATGGAGCTGGAGGAGCCCTGGAGCAGCATGACCCTCACAAAGAAATCTGGCATCTAGTGAAATTTATGTCTGCGAGCTTCATTGATAAAGGAGGGTGGGGCAGTGGGGGGCAGTGTATAACAGACCTTCGTTTTTCGAATATGGCACGTCCGGAACCAAATGTGAATGTTCGTATTATGTGTTCTGAATGACTAAAGTCGTTCGCAATCGAGAACGCCTTGGTTGGGGAGTTGTAACGGTGTCGAGAGGACGGCCAAGTTGGGCTCACCCAAATTTTCGGCCATTTTCATCATATTACGACATGATCTTTTTGGTTGAGGTCGTTGGGTTACAAACAACCCCCGAACTATTGATTTCCTGTCGAAGAACACACCTTAGCACTTATAAAAAATTCGTTGTGACCAACACAACCTCGTGGGTTCTCGCTCTACGAGGCCACATAACAGGCTGTGTACCCTGGGACAGTGTGTAACATGAACGTCTGGGGTAGTCTGGGGCGGTGTGTTATGAGACAAATCGTCTTATTGGCTAATCAATGATGTGTAGATGCCCTAACTTAGCAGTAGTCTCACTGACAAAGACACAACTTTTTGTTTGTAGGTCAAGTTCACAAAATATATCCAAAATAAGTTTAGTATATTATGATGTTTTCAATTAAAAACTCGTAAATTTTAAGAAAATTCTGTGTGGAAAAATAAAATTAGATGATAAAATCTGTTGTTGTATCAACAGCTGATTGGCTGAGCGATTAGCGAAGCCCATAACTCCACTGACCGGAAAAGTTTCATTCTGTTTGTTTGTCTGTCTGTCCGTCTGTACGCACGATAACTCGAGAAAGAATTGAGATAGCGACCTTGGATTTTCAGGGTCGTTTTGTATCACTCAAGTCCATGCTGAAGGATAACCGATTTCGG